GACTGTTAGATCAAACACCGAGGTGTTATTTCAGCCCCAGAATTCTACTAAAACACGCAAATACAAGCTATCGTCAGTTATTTCGATGTCATTGAGTGCCTGAAAGTTCTGTTGCTGACGATGCATGCCCGAGGGTTGTGCATAATGTAACTTCTACGTGGTACTCTTCCTCCAATTTTGAATTTTGAAATAATAATGTTATCACATGTGAAGTCTACTACTACGTGATTGCTATTGCCTCTCTGTATGTGTCGGTCGATGGTGTAAGACAAAGTAAAAGGGAAAGATCATAAGATTCTCTCTGATTATTCTTGTATCCTTTGTCCATTTTTTTTTATTTTAAAATTCTTCAAGTTCTTTGCATGAATTTCTTTGTGATGAATAGTTATTTGGAAAAAAGTGGCCGTCGTCTTACTGTTGAATCTGTAGATAGTTTGTCAGATTCGTTTTTTTTTTTTTTTAATTTATTTAATGAACATGGGAATATGTCATTGGTCAAATATGTGGTTGGAGTGTGGTGTTCTTGTTGAAGATCATGTTTGAAACGAATAACTGGATGAACTTATCATTCAAAGTTTGGTATTTTGGTGGTGGTAAAAGAGGAGGTCTGATGAGCTTATAAATGGAATGGGGAAGAAAGGCGTAGCACAAATCTTTGAACTTAAAAAACAGTGGCCAAAGAAACGTGCTTTAACCTGTATGAACTCCTCGGCAGACAATAACTGCCACGGCTCAAATCTTAAATAGTTGCTGCTGCTGCGGCCACAACACTGAGCGTTGGAGTAGCAATAATATTCCCATGGAAAGTTAAATTAGTAACGCATTAGCGTCCATTTTATTTATTCAGTCATGTGAGAGAAGGTGCGGTGCTACCCGGCTCAACTATTGCTGGATTGGTAAGTAATCTCCCTGCAAAAGAAAGTGTCAATGCATATTCTATTCGGCTAGCAGGTTTGCGAATCCGATTAAATCGAAGGAGTGGTCTTGCACCTCTTTTGAATTTTTTTCACTACAGGTGAGATTTGAATCCCCCAACCTACAGTTCAAAGAGAGATTTAATCTCTTTTTAGTGGTCACTGAGCTAAAACTTAGCGGTGGTTAGTATCATAAGAATGAGAGAGAGAGAGAGAGAGATTAACAGTGACGGATGAGTGAGATCAACAGTGACGGTTGGAAAGGTGGTAGTTGGGTTAGAGAGGGGTTCAACGGATCGACCGCAAGTGCAAGACGGTTGGGAAAAGACAAAAGAACAACGGACAAAGAGAATCAAGAATTTGGTTGGGTGCTGGCTAGAGCTATTAAGTGGAACGAGCAGGTCGAAAGTTCGATTTAGCTCGACTCGATAAGACTCGAACTCGACTCGTTAATTATGATAAACGAGTCGACCTCGAGCTCAAGATATGCTAGTTTAATTAACAAGTCGAGTAAGGCCGACTCGTTTGTTATCCAAATAGCTCGATTAGGCTCGATAAGGAAGAGTACATATGTCATTTCACAATTCAAAAATATAAAAATTAAAAATTATAGATTTTTATTGGGGTTAATTTGCACGAGCTCGAGCCACATGTCCACTCGAGCTCGTGCAAGCTCGACTCGTTTATCAAGCCGAATCCGAATCCGAACACATTTCAAAGCTCATCCGCCTGGTCGAGCGAGCTCGGCAGCCAAATATTCGGCTCAACTAACAGCTCTAGTGATGGCCCTCTCACTCATCCACCCAAATTCAATTTAATTCCATGGCAAAATGGCCAGAGTTGGTGGGATTTTGATCTCTAATCCTCCCATGGTCGCATATTTCTTCACAAAAAGAAAACCATGATGTTTTATATATATATATATATATATGTTCTTTGATTAGTGTTGTAATTGAAGTATTATCGTTCGTGCCATTTGAAATTGACCAGTGCAAATGAACATTAGGGACATATGGTACCGGCGGCTCGCTCACGGCCTATAATAAGTACTGTAGTGAGTGCCAGTCTCTGGTGAGGTATGGCGCTCAACTTCGATACTAGTACGAATATTATATAATTACACAATAATAATTTGTGAGAATGTGGTTGGTTGGAGTGGAGCAGTGACCTGAACTTCACGCAGAGTGGGGTGGAGTAGGGTTTGTACTACTAGTATTTCCGATTTGCTCATGGATTGTCGTCCATCGCCTACCGCCGCCGCAGGAGCAGAAGAAGCAGGAGGAGAAGCACCGCCACCAACAACATATCGCATAGGCTACGCGCTTTCACCAAAGAAAGTGGAAAGCTTCATCCAGCCCTCTCTCCTCAATCTCGCCAAACAACGCCACATCCATCTCCTTCCAATCGACCTCCACAAGCCCTTATCCCACCAGGGTCCTTTTGATTGCCTCCTTCACAAGTTATCCGGCCCCGACTGGACTCAACAGCTCCGCCACTTCTCTTCCCTCCACCCTGACGTCCCCATCATCGACCCTCCCGACGCCGTCCTCCGCCTCCACGATCGCCTTTCCATGCTTCAAGTCGTCCGCGACTTACACCTACCGGAACCAATCGACGAATCCGACTCCTCCTCTTCTTCTTCTTCTTCTTCTTCTTGCTCTTTCGGAATCCCTCACCAGGTATTGGTCCCAGATTCCCAACATCTCCGAGAACAGGGATTGCCTAGCCCCCTCGAGTTTCCGGTGATCGCGAAGCCCTTGCTCGCCGACGGGACCGCCAGCTCTCACCAGATGTCCTTGGTCTTCAATCACCAAGGATTGAAGCAATTAGAGGAGGAGGAGGAGGCGCCATTTGTACTGCAGGAGTTTGTGAACCACGGCGGCGTCGTCTTCAAAGTCTATGTTGTTGGGGACTACGTGCAATGTGTCAAACGGAGGTCCTTACCAGACATCCTCATGGACGACGACAAACCATTGGGAGGATTGGGCGCCTCCCACCACAATTTGTTGACCTTTTCCCAGATTTCAAATCTCGCCGCCGCCGCCGCCCCTTCTTCTTCGTCTTTTAAGAATAATGATGAGCAGCAGCTGCAGGAGGAGGAGGCAGCCCAAATGCCTCCGGTGAGTTTCCTTACTCGCTTGGCCAAGGCCTTGAGGAATGCCTTGGACTTGCATCTCTTCAACTTCGACGTAATCAGGGACGGTCGGTTTGGGAATCGGTACCTTGTCATTGATATTAACTACTTTCCCGGTTATGCTAAGATGCCCTCGTACGAGACTGTCTTAACTGACTTTTTTCTGGATCTTCTGCGCCGCAAACAACGACAATAATTGCCACTCTACTACAAGTACTAGTGCTTTACAGTTACAAGAGAAGAGGAGCAGCAGCAGCAAAAGCAACAAGGACTGGACTGGATGCTTTTATTAACTAGCAAGCTATTAGCGCTGTTGAATATTTTTACTCGCTGCTGCTCACTCTTCACTTTCTCCTAATGACTAGTAGTGCTAAATAACAGAGGAAGATCTTCAAACCCTTTGACATAAATAATCCTCATTTTCATGGTGACCCCTGAAATCCCACTCATAGTACTAGATATGTTGGACCAACAGGTTTTCAGTTGGTTGGAGACATTTGTTGTCCATGAATTGACTACTACCTTTTTTTTGTTTGTTTAACTTCGTGTGGTCAACATTTGATTGATTGATTATCAGGTGTGGCTGCTGTTAGAATTCTGTCTGTGTGTCAGTACTATCATGGTTGGAATGAATCTAATCTAAACTCGTTTTGATTTGCACCCATACCCATCTTAGCGTTTTTCTTTCCGTTTGACATCCCTCTCACTTGATTGTATGTCATGTCGTGAGACCTTGGTGACGGATATCAGTAGTACTTTCTTATTAGATTTGTTGCGGTTGAATTTTGGATGCTTCTTGACTATGATGGATGTTTACAGAATAATAATAGCAAAGGGCACACACATATATATATATCATTCTGAACTGCTGCTGCTGCTGCTGCTGCTGCTACTACGCAGGTCGACAAAAGAAGTGCTGCGACTAATGTTGGAATTGGTCCCGTCGGATACTAGTGCTCGGAAGAACAGCCGGGCAAATGAGCATTATTATTATAAGTAAAAAGAGATTGTAATTTTCGCGAGGGAGAAATTGGAAGTGGAAAAACTAGGCGGCAGGCAGAGCATTTCTTTTGTGAAGTTAAGGCCACGACGGAGGAGAAAAAAGACCCAAAAAAAAAAAAAAAGCCAAAAAAGTGCGAGTGAACCAGCATCTTGGGGGTTTGTGGGCTTTAGAATCCGTCGAAGTCAAAATTGCGAGTCAGTTGTTGTGAGGCCGGCCGGCCGGCCGGCTGCCGATGAACTAGCAAAAGGAGCGTGGGGAATGACAAAGCTAGCGTTGTTACTTAAAACAAACCTTACTCAGCCTTTTCCGGTCCTAGATAAGTCGCTGCAATTCAGAAATTTAAACCTTTGCACTACTCCACCTGAAGTAAAATTTAAAAGGTTTGTGATAGTGCATCCCTTCTTTGATTTAGAGAGAGGTATAATCCTCTTCTTCTAAGCTAAAAGTTGAGCCCTTCTCTCTCTAACGCAAAAGTTAGAATAAAAATAAAAGAATAGGAATAAAAATTGACGATTGACCTAAAAAAACAACAAAAAAACCTTCTTGGGCAATAAAATGTTTGGAACGTTATCGGATGAGATTGAAGTTAAGGTGCCGGCCAGTGAAGCATGGAAAGTTTATGGGACGCTGCAACTGGCGTATGTGGTCCGGGAACAACTCCCAGACAGACGTGGTGCAGGAGATCCAAGTGCTGGAAGGCGATGGGTCTCACTCTCAGGGGACTAAACTCAAGCTCGTTAAATTTAATCCCGCACAGACGCAGCACCACCATCCACCCTCCTCCTACTTCGAACTTCAAAGAGGAGTTTGTATTGTGGTGGTGGATGACCAGAATCGGATCAAAGTGACTTGGGTGTTTGAAGGCGGATTCCTGGACCTGGGCTTCACCCTCTATCGTGTTACTTTTCAGGTTATTTACAAAAAAAAGTAACAAATCCAGATTATTTACTTTCTTCACAGATAAAAGTAAAAAGCTATTATTTATCCATGTAAACTTGCACGCTAGTGATAAAGGAAAGCTTTTTACTATACTATACTTTGGGTACAAGATACTACACATCTCATCAACTCAATTTTGAAGACCAAATCATTTCACATGTGCAGCTAAACCTAGAAGAGCTCATCCCTGTATCCATCATGCTGGGGACTGCGGAGCCGCCGCCAACTTTAAGGACTCGTTCCCCCTCCCCTACCGGTACATCGCCTATAATCCCCGTTCATTGTCAAACATCTGTCAAGTACTGCTAACATTTTTGTGTGCGGCATTCTTTTATTGAGCAAATTGCACGCAGCCCCGCACCATGTACCATCGGCCCAGAGTCCGTATCACTTGTCCTATTCATACAGTTATTGGTTTCTATACATTACCTTAATCAGGTTGAGGATGCCATTGCCAACTGCCACCGCAGCGGCTGCCAAGACAGACTAATTGGCTGTTTTAAAACACAACTCAAGCTGACTTGCTTTTTTGATCAGGAAGAATTTGCCAAGTCCTTCAGGTTAAGATGAATACTCATTACCTCATAATGTTATTTGCTGCATTCCATTTGGACCATCTCCAGTAAATAAATCTATTCGGATTAGCAATTAAGAACCTGTGCCAGAGAGAAGAAAGTACAAAGGAAGATCACCTCAGTTGAAGAATGGATTTGCTCCACAGCAATTAAGAATAGCACTAGTTCAAGAAAGAATTCCCCATATGGCCACATCACGACATTAGTCTTCAATAAGCCCCCTCCCACTATTGTCCTAACACTCGCAGCTTTGCCTTAAACAAACCACGCCTTAAAAATTCAAAGCTGCCCAAGCATACGCACACAAGTCACACCCTCCACAAAATAATTAAAATGTCTCTGGTGACATGCATATGTATTGTAAGATTAAAGTGAAAAGACTAAGTTTTGAAGAGCAAGGACATATAATCAAATCAAAGATCTTACCCATGCTTTTACACTACGAACATTAAACAAATTGACATCCTCCTCCTGCTCCGCTGTCTGCAATGAGGATTCTCTTATTCTGCATCGTAGGCAGAAGGCTGCCTGATTCTTTACATTTGGCCCACTTTGAAATCTTTCTGTCTTCATTCCTCCATAGCCTAGAGGCAGCCAACTTAAATCCACTCTTTGCATAAGTCACGAGAAGCATGACAAGCTCTCTGCAAACCACAGTCATGATAAGCCTACCAGTTCAATAAAACCTGGATATCATTGTTAAAACCTTTCCAGTTGAGTAAATAGCATTCACCTTTTCCATGAAGATGGCCTTAACACTAAACAAGTAACAACTAACACCCAAGAAACTTAATTACTCTCTGAATTGGCCCATGCACCTTCTGGTTTTGCAGAGATGTATTAGTAAAAGGACTTTAACAGCAGTTATCATTCTCATGACGCTGTTTTCACAATAACTTTGATCTCCTCACAATATGAACTACTCTACCTATTTTAAGTGAGAACAGATAAGGGCCAACCAGAGAAGTCCACACTTAAAAACAAGGGTTTAATTACATACAATTCCCATGAAGTCTTTCCAATTTTTTAATGAACCCACACGATATATTTCTAGTAAACTTGTATTCCCAGATCAGGAATTTTGTTAGAGTGAAAGTGTACAGGTCAACTCATATTTCTAGTCTCAAAGATTTCCTATTCATCTCACCAATTGTTTATGTCCTTCCATTCAAATGCTCAAAATGAACTAAGATTATCGTTGTCACTACCAGGGTGATATATACATGTCTGATATTTAAGAGAGAAGGGGCATAATACTCACAGCGGCGAGCAAGGAGATCGACCACCATTGACATAGTAGATGAACAAGTAAGAGTCATAATGCTGGCCGTTGATGAAATAAAAAGCATGCAACCTTCTTACACACTGAAAGGACATTTTCTTGTACAGATGGATGGCAGGGTTGTTATATGAAATGACGTGTAGGTAAACTGCTCGGCAATTTGAGATGTTAGCAGCATATTTGATAGCCTCACGAATTAGGGAACTGGCTGAAAGCCAAAACAGAAGAAACATTCACTAAATAGGAAGTAACTAAATTCAAACTATGCACGTTTTAAGGGAATAAGCCCCCACCGATGCCAAAATTTCTGTAAGAATCTACCACTCCCAGAGTCAAGATATAAACCAGTGTCTGGTCTGATTTTGATGAGTCAAACCTGAGCAAATCTTCAACCTACAAGACGCCAGTACAAGTTAATCTCAATGATGACCCTGCAATCCACCGACTATTACAATAGACAGTTTTACATTCTGAATAGATGAATTCATGAACAACGACTTGGTCCAAAATAGTGAAGAGGTCCACATATGCTGCCCAAATACCAATAACAATCAAGTACATAAACCTCACCTCGCTGTCTTTAGCCATAACAATCCTCGCTGTAAGAAATCCTATAAGTTCATCACTGTGACCATTGGGCCGATTACGATCGACAGCTCCCCAAGAAACAATATCGCGGCCATGAACGACATTATGGAAGAACTCGGTCTCATACCTAGGTCAACGCAGGATAAGGCTAAGTAGCAAAAGAACTTATTAATAAGGATAATCATGATGGGATCACCTAACCTGATAGGAAATAGATCACAATGGATCCTCTCAAGGACCTCCAAATCAGATGGTCGAATAGGCCTGTAAGATATTACTGGATGGTGGGAGCCTTTGAGTTTTAGCATTGAACAAGTAGAATCAGTCTCCAACAAATATTTGATTTATTTCGAGAATTTGCACCCAAATTGCTCCTTCCATTTAGGCACTGTCAAGCAAGAAAGCCATAAAATGTCTGAAGCATGGTAAACAAGTCCTTCAATTTAAGCCGATAGCTTTGAACTTCAAACGCCTTGCATTATCACAGGAAATAAAATCTTGTTTCCTTCCCAACTATCATCGCCTTCCCTCTCTTTGATGCTAGATAAAAAGAAACCCTGTAGCTGCAATTTCCAATGAACAAATCCTGAGTACAAGATAAATTCAGGGCACACGTTTGGGACTGTCTTAAGCTATAGACCATCCGAGACTGCGCTGTATCAGTTAAACAGTGAATATTATTTGGAACAAGCAGCATTTAATCAAGGACTGTAACCACAACAAGTTCTGATAGACCAATTAAACAGTGAATATTATTTGGAACGGAGATGCAAGGTCAGGGGCCTCTGGGCATTACAGACGATAGAATAAAGAATATGGGGGCAAGGTGGATTGACATTACAAGTAACTCAGAAAGAAACACTCAATCATAATGCCTGCCAAGATCCAAGCAATCCTAGTCTACGGCACAACAACAACAACGATGTGCCAAGTTCTCAGCTTCATGCCAATTCAAATCATAAATGAAATCCCAAAAGGTGCAAGTTTTGATGAAGAAAACAAGAAGGGTCTTATCACTCACTCAAGTTCTGAGCTTTATGCCAATTCACACCACCAATTGCTAATAAAAACCTAAAACGAATTTTGTCAAACAGTCCCTGAGTTCTCAGCTTTCTGGCAACCCAAATCATCAATTCGTGGGTGCAAAAGGGATTAGCTACAACTTCGAGAAGACAAAAAGTTTTCGTCCAAATTAGCCCAAATTTGAAGGATTTCGAATAGCAATAAACGGGTTAAAGGGATCCAAAAAATAAATAAATAAGTAATCCAACTTCAAGTGCTGATATACGTGTAACACATGTAAATGAAACTGAGGATAGCAAATTCTTGCAGAATTACAAAGAAAGAAGGATACCAACCAAGTCGAAGCCTAGCCAAGATATTCGCGCAGGAAAAAAAAAAAAAAAAGAATCCCGGGCCCAGGCAAAAAGCGGGTGAGAATTAGATCTCTGCAAGGAAACTTAACGGGGGCCTTCCCTTGTAGAAGGAACGTACACCAGCTGCAAAGAAAGATCCAACAGGAGGAAACAAAAAAATTGTTCCCAAAAAAGGAAAAAGAAAAGCTTAAAATGGTACAAGTAAACGGCTGCGCTCAAAAGGCCAGGTTAAGGGAGGCGAAAATGGAAAAGCAAAAAAAAAAAAAAAAAAAAAAAAAATTGATTGAATGAAAAGGATTCTAAGATAGGGGATTTGCGGTTTGCTGTGCTGTGCGTTCTCTTCAACTTCTTTCTCTTTTATGTTTGTTTTTTTTTTTAATTCTTTTTTTGCAGTCAACGGGAAATAATACTACTAATATAACATTGGAGCAATATAAATAATATATAATAGTTTACTACTACTACTACATTTTTTAATCCGAAAGCACAGCACAGCACACCCATTTTGTCCGAATGAATTGGGGAACTATACTGATACCACTACTACTACTTGTAGTACCGTTCCAGATTTTTTAAGCCTATCATTAAACCCAGAAATTGTTTCACAAAATTTTGCAGCCTCAATTGTTTGTCGTCACTAGTACTGCTTTGTAAGCGTATGGTGGAATTGTTTTTTTTTTTTTGCTATTAATTAATAGGTTAATATCTTAGGTTACGTTTGGAGTTTGCTTTTTGAAAAGAAAATTAAAATAAATATTTATCCTCAATTTGTGACACTTTTGCTAAAGTCCTATCCTACGTAGTAAAAAGTAAATCCCAGTTGTTGCGAGCTGTCGCTGCAAACGATGACTTTCTCACAAAATGATAGAGACATATTTTTTGACACAAAACCTCAAGACGAGGAACAAAAAAGAAGGAAATTGAGACTCGCGCTCTCCTCCTTGCCCTTCTTCCAACTTCGGTACTCTGGTCTCCTCAGTAGTACACAACATGTTTTCTTTCTGCATAAACTCCACCGGACGGGACTCAGAGGCTAGAGCCAGACAAGAATCGATGGTTCAATACCGCTTCTGCAGTTGGCCTCTTGCGGAAGTCACGATTGAGCATTGCCTACGCCCACATAAATGAAGCCACTTTTCATTAGTGCGATAGATATAGCAGCAGATCGGCTTCATGCCCCAACTTCAGCTGATGCAGCTATATCCTGTATGGCTATTCTATCTATCTATCTAAAAGATAATTGGCATCAGTTAGAAGTCAAATCAGCAGCAATGCATGCATGCATTTCACACACCTGCAGTAATTCCCAACCAGCATTATCCCTAAGATCCAGATACCTGACACCTTCCAGCAATCCATCATCAGCTAAACAGTATCTGCCAGAAACGAAGCACAATGAAACCATATGCACGGGCGTTCTTTCCTACATGTAGACACATTCGAATGCAGTTTGACAGAAGCAACACAAAAACCGGTTGTGTTGGTACATCACGACCACCACGTGTTATATTTAAAATGCATCAGTACTTGCAAGCGTTCATTTATCTTCTCAATGATTGCAATTTTTGCAGAAAAATTGTTCTTACTCTCTTGTAGCTTCAAGATCAAGCTGGAAAGTGTTCTCCAGAAGCCTCTGCATACTCAAGACATGAAAAAAATTAGAAAAGGGAGGTACCAACCCATCACTTCAGAAGAACTGATTCTTATTCATACAAGAACTGAACAATCCAATTCAATAAAAGTGGCACACCTGCAGTGATAGGCTATCCATTGTTCCAGCTTCACAAAATGGAAGGAAAGCTAGGTAGGCCAAAAGTAGTCCGGCTTCATATCTACAAAGTGCAAAAGAACAATGCCTTAAAGGATGTAGCATCTAATCATCCAACAGAATGAAATGTCAGTGTCCAACTCTTCACATGTCATCTGCTATTCCAAAGGCCCTTTTCTCCATAGGAGTGAAAGCTCCTGCAGCTGATGCCCGTCTCCAAAGTCCTTCTGATAGTGTCCCAGAATCATTTTCTAGCTGGGGATACCTACGAAGCCAAGGAGCTGAGCAAATTTGCCATGTTACAGAAATACAAAATTACTAATATATCCTATCAAGCACCAAAGATTGTTAATCAGTTCGCCTTTTCTCTTGTATTTGCCTAAAAGAATCTTTAGTAAGCAAATCACATAGTGAACCATATGAAAATACATGAAAAAGACTTTGAACACAGGAATGACTAGCTTTTTTTATTAAAAAAAATTAGCAAGGGAGGGGCAGGATTTAAGACGCGGGGAGGAAGAAGGGGGATTTGAAACCAAGACCTCTAATTCCTCAGGCCTCAATCATAGCCACTAGACCATGGCCTCACAGGAATAACTAGCTTGGATCATTTGTTTTCTAGATCCTACCAACTGCAACAACTTATTTGCAACCTGAAGATTGTTAGTTGTAAGGTTTTTATGTATGACATTCTGGATCACGGCACATACTACCCATCTGCTTGTATGGGTATAAATACACTGCCCGATCCTTCTTGGTTTAGTAGCAATGAGATCCCCACACAAAGTGTTCATGGACAGGTATGGCATGCTAAGATGTCAAGTCTTATTCCCAATGACTCAGATGCTTACTTCAAACCTGATCATGATATAACCCACAAGAATAAGGAATGAACAATATGAAGGAACAGCAGCATCTTGTCCAAATTGGTGCTACACAAGAAATCTCAATATAACCAGCTATCCATGGCTGTTTGTAATTGCAAGAAAGAAACAAGCACTCAAGTGGATGTTAGATCTACACGCATTGACAAAGCCACATTCCAGATCAAGTGCCATGTAACCAAAGAAGTATCTACATGTTCATGGGAACCGTTAGACTCCAAATGCGCAGGTACTTACACAAAGAAATGGCAGTCCTTCTGATTAATACATAAAATTCTCCTTTTATACTTAGCATTTTGATTCGGTCAAAGAAATGTCAGTCTGCTTATAGTGGAATATGCTGTAGGTTAACTCTTTTGATGGGATTACCTTACATCAACTGCAAAGGCAAGATCCCGAAGCCTCGGAACGAGGTAAGCGGCCTCTTTCTCAACCATTGTACTGTCATAGAGAAGATGAGGTGGGATGTACAGACATATGAATGAAAACAAACACAATGGCGGCCAAAAACAAGTAATCAGGAGCCAGATTATACAAATGCGTACTTGAGAACAACTGAATAAGGTCCAAGACTCTGATGTAGTCTGTCATTGTCATGCATGTATGCTAAGCCTCTCATGGTACCCTGGAACAACTTAGTGACAAAATACCTCCTCCGTCTTAGAGTTAGGTCTTTGTCAAAAGGGTTCCAAAACCTACTGTCTCCGTGATCAGGGTCTTTCGACATACTCTGACTTGAAACTTTAGCATAGTCTGCAGCACTATATATACCATCATTACGGAAAGCCAGCCACTGCAGATTAGAGATGATGCAGGGATTAATGGACGCCAAAAACATAAAAAGCAAAAATTGTGGGATTGCAGCAGACCTGCTCCCCTGTTTTTGTCTCAAATCCTCCAACAAGTAGCTGGATATTTTGACAAGGATCGTTTTGATTGCTCTGGAAGAATGAAGAATAATTAACTAGCATCAAATGAAGCCAATTTACGGCATTAATATTGATCAAAAAACTCAAGTGATAGCTAACTGATGGGATTATACCTGAAGGAAAGCATGGGCATTTAGCTCGTTTGCAGCCATCATATCAGCTTCAATGCCACCAACTTGTTGCCCAGGATATACCTGTTCAATAGAGTGACGGAAAAGATACAATGGATCTGATTAAAAAAAAAAAAAAAAAGGATTGACCACCTTCAAACAGCTATACGTGAGCAATTCTGGGGTGAAGGGCCTTAACCATTTCACTAATTGAACACTGCTCCTTGAGATTCCCAAAAGATATGTTGAGTCATGTGTAGCAATTGAAATGAAGACAGTTCAGAGGGGTAGGTCGTCAATGTTACTCCAGAAAGCAAAATCAAGAAAGTGCGTTAAAAAGAGAGAGGATGACGTTGAACATGCAAAAGCAGGGGAAGCAAAGGGAGAAGAAATATGTAAAGGCGTCAAAAAGAGGTGGCAAAGGGAATATGACTAGGAGGAAGCTATAATTAGATTTTTGGGTGAGTGAGAGAAGAGCGCAGTGGAAACGAATTAGTGCAGTATTGGAATCTTGAAGATGAATAATAAGAGCTGCTGCTGCAACTACTGCTACTAGTTTCTTGTAATACAAAACTATAGGTGGAAAACAAGGGAGGGAGGTGTCAGAAAGAGTTGAGTCACCTTGAAAACAACGGGAGTACCTCGAAAGGGACCTTGAGATATTCTGCCTTGATAAAGCCTGCAAAGAAGCGCTGGGTGATGGGCAGTATCAGAAGCAGTCAGTACAACACGTTCAGAGTATAATACAATACAAAGAGCAGAAATGGGTAGGATGCATGGAACGTGGGTAATTATGTAGGGTAACTTGGGGTGCGCATTTCTTGAAGCTCCAGCCTCCAGGGGAAGAAAAGAAGGGGGGAAAAAAGGAGGGAAAGGGAATAAATTAGCAGCAGAAGTGAATAAGTAGGAAAAAAAAAAGAGAGGGAGAGGAAGGAGTGACTGAGGTTGGTAATTGGTACTACTTGATTTACCTAATCTGGAAGTTGCCTTCACCGACATCCTGAACTTTGAAAGACCCAAATATTCCAGAATCTTCAGGCTGGAGGGGAGCACTGCCCAGCATCCCTTCGGATCGCAAGCCTGAGTAACTGCCCAAAAAAATTTTAATAATAATAAAATAAAATAAAATAAAACAGGGCGCATTTTGATCATATGGAGTATACATATATAGCTTTCTTTGTTATTGTTATTCTTTAACAGCAGTAGTGTACCAGAACTAGTAAGTAAGTGGAATAGATAGCCTATAAAGTGATTAGGGATAGGATGATACAAGTGAGCAGTTGTAGTAGGAGGAGGAGGAGGGGAGTGGGAAGTTGATGAAGAATAGTATAATATAAGATGGAGGATAATGGTTAGTTTGGGAGGGAGGACCTGGTGATATTCATGAAACCATAGGTACCAATAAGCCGGCCTACTTGGAAACAATCTGGGTCGGTAACCATACATGAAAATACTAGTCTTCTTCTTTTGCAACAGCCTCCAGGGACACGGCGAGGAGGAGGAGGAGGTCTGAGTCTCATCATCTGAATGTTGTTGTTGCTGCTGCTGTATATGAAGAGGCGGTGGTGCAGAGGAGACTTGGGAGCAGTAGCAGTAGCAGAGCACGAGCACCCCCACCTC